CCATGTTGTTCCTAGTCTGTCTTTTATTTGCTACATACCTGTAGAAGCCTTTCCTGTTATCTTTCACATCCCTTGTCAGACTTAATTCTAACTGGGCCTTAGCTTTCCTAACCTGGTCCTTGGCTTCCCGGACAACTTTCCTGTAATCTTCCCAGGCTGCCTGTCCTCGCTTCCACCTTCTATAAGCTTCTTTTTTCCCCTCTAAGTTTCCTCAGCAGTTCCTTATCCATCCATGGAGGTCTCTTGGCCCTCCTGCCACACTTCCATCCAGTCGGGACGCAACACTCCTGAGCCTGTAGCAGGTGATCCTTGAATATCAACCAGCAGTCTTGACCCCCCCTGCCCTCTAGGACTATATCCCATGGAACCTTACTAAGCAGGTTCCTGAAGAGGCCAAAGTCTGCTCTCTTGAGGTCCAGGTCAGAAAATAATTTTTTAGGAGCCAGCCCCAGCCCCGTGGGACTCAGGCTCTGCTCCTAAATGCCCAAACACAGGATTTGGGCTCTTTCTGACCCCATAATATAGCACTTAGTCTGTCATGTCAAGACCCGAGACAACCTGGGTAAGCCCGGTTCCACATGCCCCAGACACAGCTCTTGGTCTGTTCCACATCCCCAGATCAGGACAATGAGCCCAATACCAGTGCCCCAAAACATGGCACTTGGTCTGTTTCTCAGCTCCCCACCCCAAAACATGGGACTTGGTCTCCATTTCCAAGCCTGAGAAACCATGACTTCTCAGTCTGAGTTTGAAAGACCTAAAATGGGCCAAATGACATGGGTCCCAAGCCCCAACACACAGCACTTTGAGCCCCCAAAACATGGGACTTGGCCTCTTTTCTCCAGCACCAACATGCAGGACTGGGTCTCTTTGAGCCCTCTAACTCAACACATGATAACTTGAGCTCAGGCCCCAAATTGGCCCCGTGCATGGCTTCCGCCCCCGCTACAGCTCCTGGTGGCTGCTCCCAAGCTCCACAGTGCAAGACTCAGTTCCCCATTTCTGGATGTACCATGCCCAGCCCAGCCTCTCCCCAGGGCGCCCGCTGCCGAGTCCTATACCCCGCACGACGGCACATTCTCAGCAATGACTGGGTAAGGCCAGTGGTGATCTAGTTGCTCCCAGCACACTTGGGAATTAGCATAATGCCACCTACCCTGATGTCACGAATGAGTTGCTGTGTAGGTGTTTCGATGGGAACTTTGCTGTCAATGACACCTTGAATGGCAGAAGCCCAGCGCATAGCTTCATTCAACAGCTTTGTGTACAGTCTGTAGGAGTGCTTTCGCCCATGGACAATGATGTTCCAATAGCCTGGAGAGAAACAAAGAAGCTGGAAGGTAAAACTTGCTTCCATGTTACGCAGTTGGTTGGCACATGACACCCATCTACAAGAAGGAGGATCTGGGGAACTATAGGCCTGCCAGTCTGCCCTTTGTGCTGGGAAGGTTATGCAGCAGATCATCTTGAGTGCTATCACGTGGCATGTACAGGACAACCAGGCAATCAGGCTCAATCAGCATGGGTTTATGAAAGACAGGACCTGCTTGACTAATCTGATCCCCTTCTATGACAAGGTGATCCACTTAGAGGATGAGGGAAAGGATGTGGATGTTGTCTATCTAGACTTTAGTAAAGCCTTTGACATCATTTCCCACAGCACTCACTTCAAGAAATTGACTGTTCATGCCTTGGATGGGTGTACTTTTCACAGGGTAAAAGACTGGCTGGGTGGCTGGGCCCAAAGAGTGGAGTTAAATCCAGATGGTGGCTGGTTACAAGTGGTGTTCTCCTGGGCTCAGTACTGGGGCCAGTTCTGTTTAGTATCTTTATCAATGACCTGGACAAGGGTATTGAGTGCACCCTCAGTAAGTTTGTAGACAACATCAAGTTCAGCAGGAGTGTTGAGCTGCTGGAGGGTAGGAAGGCTTTACAGAGGCATCTGGACAGGCTGGATCAATGGGCCAGCTGTACAAGGTTCAACAAGGCAAAGTGCTGGGTCCTGCACTTGGGTCACAACAATCCCATGTAATGCTACAGGCTTGGGGAAGAATGGCTGGAAAGCTGCCCCGTGGAAAAGGACCTGAGGATGTTGTTCAACAGCCAGCTGAACATGAGCCAGCAGTGTGCCCAGGTGGCCAAGAAGGCAAATAGCATCCTGGCTTGTATCAGAAACACTGTGGCCAGTAGGACTAGGGAAGCGATTGTCGCCCTGTACTTGGCACTGGTGAGGCTGCACCTCAAAATACTGCATTGAGGTTTGGGGCCCTCACTATAAGAAAGACACTGAGGTGCTGGAGTGTATCCAAAGAACAGCAGTGAAGCTGGTGAAGAGAAAAGGTCTTATGAGGAGTGGGTGAGGAAATTGGGGATGTTTAGCCTAGAGAAAAGGAGGCTCAGGGCAGACCTTCTAAAAGGAGCTTGTAGCGAGGTGGGGGTCCGTTTATTCTCCCAAGTAACAAGCAATAGGACTTGAGGAAATGGCCTCAAGTTGCACCAAGGAAGGTTTAGTTTGGATATTGGGAAAAATTTCTTCACCAAAAGGGTTGTGAAGCATTGGAACAGGCTACCCAGGGAAGTGGTAGAGTCACCATCCCTGGAAGTATTTAAAAGATGTGTAGATGTGGTGCTTAGGGACATGGTTTAGTGATGGACTTGGCAGTGCTAGGTTAATGGTTGGACTCAATGATCTTAAAGGTCTTTTCCAACCTAAATAATTCTATGATTCTCTTCCTGTTTGTAGCATGTGTCAGAGAAAACCCTTGCTGCTTTGATAGCAACATACGGTGTGTCTAGTTAAAATTGACTAGATAGACATTAATGTCCCCATTCCCAAAACACACTTATCAGCGGGAAGGTCCTAATCCAAATTACGGTACAAAGACAGCTTTCCAAGATACAAGTATCTTACAGTGTAACATGAATACTTCCCTGCCAACCAGGCAGCTCACTTTCACAGACAGCATTTGTGCTATGCTGTGCTATTCGTCAGTCAGAAAATGACCACTCTACACATAGCACCCAGTCAGATTGCAAAGTGAATTCTCATAGCTTTTAAAAATAATGTATTTGACATAAACTGAGAGATGACAATTCCCTCTGCTAAAAGCAGCTCTAGACATTTGTTGAGGTCAAAACCATGGACCATTTGTTGTAAGCGGAAGAAATTTCCTCTCATCTCACTTTACTAAAAGCTTCCAGCTTCCAGCGCTTTTTAAAAATACCCCAAGTAACTCCACTACTCAAATGTCCAGTATTTCAAGCCTTGTTCTAAGGCTCATCATGTTTGTCAGCGGGATTCACCCTTTGCTCCATAACCCGAGTTCCCTCCTGAACTCATAAGGCAAGCCATGGAGGATCACGCCAGATCCTGCCTTCCCAGAACTGTGTCACACTGCAAACACAGAAAGCAAAACATAGGCCCTTGTAATCTTTTGTTTCTCATGAGTTAAGTGATGCTACAGAAAAGACTTAGTGTATGCCCCTGCTGTTATTTAAGAGAGTAACATTGACCCCAGAGACAAATGTAGGTCATGCTACAAAGTGACAGTTATTTATAGAGATGTTCTGATAATTACAGTGTTGACTACAAGAACTCATGCCCCATTCCTGATATGGGAAACACTTAGACAAACAGTGACACTACTCAGTGAAAAAACATCAGCACTGTGTAACTCCATCAGGTATGAGAGACTTACTGTCACTTGCACACTACTGTTTGGCCATTTGGAAGTCTCTTACAGTTTCTGTGAAAAAAGATGTTTGAAGCCAGACACAAAGTCTCAGATAACATCAAGACCACCTACTCAACTACATTTCTGCACTATCCCCTCTTCAGGCAGCTGAAGAAAGTGCTCATTACCGCTTTCATCTTCTTACCTGTGTCTTTGAAGACCCTCTCATCAGGCTGCACTATGGAGCACAGGCTATTGAGCACAAGCGTGCCAAGCTTGGCAGCTGTGCGCTCAGAAGACTTGTAGTAGTCAAGAGCAGTATTTGTCAGAACAAACCAGCGTTTCTTCATCTTCAGAGAGGACATCTTGTTGTTGCTCTGAACCTCTTTATGAAGCCAGCCTAGCACAGGAGTACAAACATGTCAATGGTTTTACCACCACAGCAATCCTGTCTCTTGCCTGGTGGCTCTCTAACTCTGGGACAAGAATTCCACCCCTCTGAAAAAGGCTCATGCTGGGACCTATCAGATGTGCTTTACTAGCTGTAACAGTATTCCACAATCTCTGTAAGAAAGTAGCCCAGAATTTTCCAATGAGCTGTTCCATCCTTCAGCTCTATGTACTTTTTTGTTAATGATCTGTGGCTAGTTTGCCATCACCATGAGGGCATCCTCTATTGAGAATGCTTCCTTCACAAGACACAAACGTGAATAAATACTTTACAATTCATTTCTCCAAAAAGATGCTGAATGCTTTTTTTAAAAAAATATTTGAGACAAATGGGGTAATATTTGTAATATGTGCAATCACTACTCATGCATCAGCTCCTCCATCACCACTAAGCTCTAACTAGAGACATAACTTAAATCTTCTGCTCAGCCTCAGAGAATTATTTTCATCTCACTATGTCCACCCTAATCAGGTTAATTTGTTTAGCTGAGGACAGCAGCAGTCCCACGAAGATCTCTCTCCCTCCCTCTCTACATGACAGGTGTCAGAAGGAACAGAGCTTTCTGAGAACAAAAGCTGCAGTGTCATGTCATAGTCAGTCTAAGCCAGCTGCTCCTAAACAGCAGCCATGCTCCCTTCCTATTCCCTGACGGCATTTGCTGGACATGTTGAAATAAGCTACAGAACTAACATCCAAAAACTAAACATATAAAGAAGTACTTATTTTTTTTCCAGCTTTAGCTTTTTGAAACCACCTGACAGGGAATCATATAGGAGTCAGTGCCAGCATAACCGAGGACATGACAAGCAGCAGGCAGGAAGGTGGGGAGGGGCAGAGAATGACTGGTTTTTGGGAGCAGTTAGATGGGATTATCTGCAATCAAACCTCCCCTCAGATCATAAATGGAAGACGAGTTTCGTGTGTCATAATTACATGCATTTCCTTTTACCTCTCACAAGGAATTCTTGGCCATCAACCTTAGATTCGCCTTTTGGTTTCTGCAGCAGGGAGATCCAGTGATGCATCTCCTCAGGGGTGTCGCTGTTGCAGTGAATCACTCGATTTGCTGTGATGATCACAAAAGAATTTGGTCTGCCAGAAAATAAAAGCATTGAAATTGGTTGTAACCATACAGGTATCTCAACTCACAGCACACCCAAAGCCATGTTCTCTACCTTCCCATATACAATGCAGAAAGAGTCTCTGAATAGAAAATACAGAAGAGCGTAGAAAAACTTAAGATCATCTCCTGTGCAGCTCGTCTACAAGCTGATGAATTCAGAGATATGAATCCAGATAAATGGAATTAAACATCTTTCAAAAGCTATTTCTGAACACTAGAAAACATTAATCAGTTAATGACCAGCTGTAAAATGTCCTGGATTCATAGGCACAGGACTTTGTCCTATCCTCCAATCGCACGGAACTAGTGTTAGTACCCCTAGACTGAGCTTCCTCATAGTTATTAAAACCTGACATGCAGTAGCAAACATAGGTCCCAGCAGGGTCCTAAGCTAAAATGGGTTTGAGATTGGTTTTTAAGAATATGAGCTGATCCTGACAAAACAGAGGAAAAAAATTATGTTGCTCCTAGATGATTTTGTCCTTCTCTTGCAACAGACAAATGTGTCCTCCTGAAAGAATATTCACAATTCTGCACAGAATTGACGCTCTACAGGAAAATGGAAAAATAAAAATATGACCAGTTCCAAGAGGATAGACTCAAAGCTTTGAAAGCAAACACGTATTTCTGTTCAACTTACTATTTGTGCCTAGTTTTTTTTACTGGTACACAGATTAACTATGAGGAAGCCATGCTGAGAACTGGCTAAAACATTTTGATCAATGAAATCTTAAGCTTGCTAACAAGATACACATTTCCTAAACTACTAACCCCAAAGTCTTGGCAACCTGTGTGAGAAAAAAATACAGACCACAGAGGTAAATAATAGCTAACATTTTACTTCAGTATTGTAGTAAGAATCTTTGCCCTGGCTGAACCTGTTAACACTGTGGGAAATAATTAAATGTTAATGTAAGTGATATGAAATGTCTCTTCTCTGAAACTAACCAATCTGTGAACTAAAGGTCTGTGGTCTGTTGCACTGCAAAGAGTTCAAGAAGAGTAGAGATTTCTCAGTTCATCCATTATTTTCCACAGTGGTGTTTCCGCAAAATTTACAACAAAATTACTCTGTTAAAAAACTGGAAGTGCTGCTTTTGCTGGACATTTTTGTTCAGTGTTAGTAACAGGTAAGACTATAATTTCTTGACATTGAGATTATGCTGCTTCCACTTTTCAGAGGAAAAGGAGATCATTTTCACTCAAAGAAAATATATGTGGTGTGAACTTCATGCTTGTGAAATGACACAGCTTGAAACAAGCTAGACTTCAGTTATGTTTATGTGGAGAGAAATTCTCATGGATTTAAACAAATGCAAACCCCAAATAAAATCTGGACCTACCCACAAAAATATATTAGAAAGTTTCTGATCTAAGAGATGGTCAGGTTGCTGTACCTACCTATCAGGACTGTCTGAGGCACAGACAGAGTCGATGAGCCCAACATCCAGGGTTCCCTGTACAGTGAGAAAGACATAGAGAACAGGAATTGCTTGCATCTTAAATTACAGACATTCTCCCTTATGAATGAAATTGGAACCGAAAATACTCTTCTGAATTCCAGTAGCTTGAGTAGAAATGAACATGTGAGAAAGGCACGAGCAAGTCATCTTTGCTCCCTGAACAGCATGAGAAGACGTGCAAGGGCTCCACTGGACTGGAGGAAAAAGAGCTACAAATTTCCAAAAAGCATTATGAAGGTCTGAAATAACCTTCGCTGGTATCTCAGTACTGGCAAAACACAGAAATACATTGTTCTTCCCAACTCTGTATCTTCTGTCTGGAGTAACTGTGACCCAGACAGAAGTCCCAGACTAGTCCCACAATCCCATCAAAAGGCATTTTATCTGCATGAGGCAGCCCCAATCTTTCCCTCAAACCAAAGACAGCCATCAGTGATCAAGCTGAGTCACCCTCCACAACCACCATGTTCCCCACTGCTTAACCTTTGTTCTATCATCTTTGTTGTTTCTTTATAAAAATTGTTCAACTTTCTTAAACTACAGCACTGCATGTGCTGGAAAAACATGCACAAAATAGTTAAACACAGAGGGCTCTAAGCATGCCTGCAGACTGGTTGCACAGTAACTCACCACAGCATTTTTTGGATTGGCCTGTTCATCTTGCATTTCCCTCAGCTGCTGCGCTGTAGCGCTGTGTACTCGGCTCAGGACGTTAAACCAACCACTGGCAATTGAAACAGACTCAAAGTTAAGATTTGATTAGTGAAACTGGCTCTAGCATATGACCAACAAACCTGGAGAGCTGCCAGTGGGGAAACTGCTTCATTCACTACTTCCTGAGGACTATGCTACAGAATAGCTCTTGAGTTGATCATACCAGATTCTAATGTCTTCCTTCCTCCCTATTTATCCATGAAAATTCTGTGCACATTCTCCAACCCACTGACAGCTGCTCCCACAAAATCCAGTTTTCTACTTGCTATTCAAGGAACTGTAAGCAGACAATGGCTTTACATGAGCACATGTTGGCATCCTGAGAAGAGCATACAGCAGTTGTAAAGCAGTCAAGGTCAGTGGGAATCTTCCTGGACTAGAGACCTAGAGATGGCTGGGAGCCTTTCTAACTAGTTTCTCTCTGATCTGCTCATAAACTCAAAAGTCATTTGGCTGTCAATCATGGGGGATTTATAAATTAATCTGGAGTTAAATTATTTGGCTGTGAAAGGGCTTCTCATTACAGACATATCTTGAGTCTAATCTCTGTTACAGAACAAGCAGATTCTTATCTGCAGCTTCCAATGATATCGGCAAACATCTAGACTCCATAGAGGATTCTCAAATTGGATACTCTATCAGATCTGCTAATCTTGCTAGTGCAAGTGTTGGTGCTTTCTTGTCCCTGATATGTCCCCATATATGACTGATATGGCATTGACAGAGACCACATTCATTTTAAACTCCTAGCAATTCTGCAATGTTATCTTAGGGCATGCCCATTCCTTTTCCTTCCAGTTGTGGAAGTTCTGGGTTCAGAAGTTACTTCAGCTACTGCCCTTTGAATTTGCCTGTTTCTCGTTCATGTAGCTGTTCTTTAGTCTATTTCTGTTAAACGCCTTCCCCCATACTCTTCCTACATCCAAATGAAATAATAACAGACCCTAAATAACTTCACAGAATCAGATTGAAGTACATCAGAGAAGCAGTTACAGTGGCTGGGCTGAGACAGCAGAAGCCTTGGTAGAAGTGGGAAAAGAGGGAAGACATGAGCAGCTATGGACAGTAACCTCTTAACTTGGCTTTGCATAGGCAGAATAGGTGGTCCAACCTGCCCTTAAATGACTGATCCCCACTGTCTGGCCAGGATGCCAAGAAGGAAGGACATGAGTCACTTGTTTGCTTTGCACTGGGAAGATTTTATCAGATGACACTATAGACTCTGATAAGCTGCAGTCTTTTCTCTGTCTCCTGGATAGAACCCAGCTGCTCTCGCAATCATTTACAGACAACTTGAATAGACTTTTTGTTTGATTCAAGATTCCATTTAATAAATAAATCAGCCATTAGATGTTCCAGTTTATATTAAGGTTTTGTGTGTCTCCTGAAGTAACCCTTGAATTCAGCATGCTCACAACTGCATAAGAAGGTGGCAGTCCTCTAACTGACTGATAGGCTGAACCACCTTCTCAGAAGCTGCAACAGGGAGTCCCCAGAATAGGTGTCTTACCTCCCAGTAAGCATAAAATGACACTCATGAATGAATCCCCTCTTTTCCCCAGCAAAAGGGAAGTGATTGTATTTCCCAGGCTGTCCCATGAGTAGCTGGGTCAGACTTGCACTGAATGAACAAACCTAACAGAACTCCCTCTTGTACCTGGCATCTTCTGGTGACTCTGCAACAATGTGATAAACTCTGTCTTCTGTCACAATGTCCAAGGCATTCTCCTTTTCATGAATATCCACAATCTCCCTGGAATACAGCAAATCGCAAGAGCCAAAACTGAAAACCTTTCACGGGCATGAATTCCATCTGGCCAACTTTTGTTTCCATATCATACCATTCAACACAGAGAAGGGAAAGCTCTGGTTCAGATGGCTTATAACTCTGACAGAAATACAACATTCTTCCAATGCACATTAAGGCTTTTAGGTTCTCCTTGTAAAGATTTCTGCTGTTAATCTACTACAAAAGCAAAACTTAGGGTGTTAAATGGATTTTCTTCAAGACACTAGCAGACTACATGATTACATGGAAGAAGAGATAACAGGAAGGTTGATACAGATGCTGTTTACAAAGTGGGGTGTGCCACTCTTTGGCACTTTACAGGTCCACACAATGCTAACAGATGACTAGTCTCTCTTCTCCTACAGCAGAAGCCGAGGAATTGGCTAAGGCAGCAAAAAGAGCATCCAGGACTCAGGAAAAAGCATAGTACATGCTGCCAAATTCAGATCCCGCTGTGAGCTTCATACCACCTCTGTGAATGCCTGGGTAAGTCCGGAAACAGATGGAGTCAGGGTAGGAGAGAATGCATGGGGTCTGTATGTACCTAATTAGCCCCTTCTGTTCTGGCTCCATCCATGGCTTGGAAAGAGCTTCTGCCGAATTATGAAACGCAAGACTGGAAAAAGAACCATCAAGTAACTCCAGACTCCCTCTAGAATAAAACTACAATTCTAATTCTCTTTTTCTTCCCTTATGTTTCTGATTCTCCTAGCCCTATGGGAAATACATAGGCTGATGAACTGGCAGCACTGAACACTTCATTATTAATTTAGAGAGTGAATACTGGGGATCACAGGCTTTATTTCTTCACTCACTTTGCCCTTCTGATATCAATTGTCCCCTTCAGCTTTTCTTCGCTATCATTCTCAAAGTACATCAGCTTGGATTCCCGAAGCACAAACCAACGACGTTTCCAGTTGCGGCGTGAAAGTGTTGACATTCCTCCACCTTTTTTATAGAGCCAGCCTGACTTCAGTGCCTCTTGCTTGGTGCGGAACCACATGAAGGCCTCGTTCTTCAGAACACACCAGCGCCGCCTCCATGGGTTCATGAGACCTCCTGAAAAGCAAGGAAGCAAGATTTCATCAGACATGCAATGAGGGCTACATTTCCATTCTGACCATGCTTCTTTGGCACTTAGTAGGAACTTCAGTTCCTACATGAAACAAAGGAGCTGAAGGAGGGAAATAAGGTTATGCTTAAGTTTGGATAGAGAAAAACCAGAACAAACTGAAACAAACACAAAGTATAGAAAACAAACACAAAATATAGAAATATATGCACTACTCAAATATTTTTATACTGTCTTCAGGTTTGTAGCTCAGAATAAGTCATATCAAGCGCCCATACCAAGTGGGCACAATTAGGTCCCAGTGGCAAAGAAAACCAGTCTAATTCCCTGACATCCACCTCCCAGTTGTTTGATTTGCTTTGCATTAAATAAAAGAAGGGGGAAAGAAGGGATTAAACAGAGAACTAAGAGCAGATGACGATGATGGTTCTGGAGAAACAGAAGAGGCAAGTGGTCTTTCTGGATTCCATTTGTCCACAGTTTTGGCTAAAGCACTTACCTTTCATATAGAGATAGCTGTGAAAATAAGGTGGTCCTGTGCCATTGAAGAGAGTGACTCGTCCATTACAAAATTCTTCATCTGTATCAATGTAAATATCCACTTCTTCTTCACTCTCCAGAAACTAAAAAGAAAATAAGAAATACAGGCTACTTGGGTTCTCCTGATTGCAGAAGGACTGGTGCAAATTAACAAGGTTGGAGAAGTCACATGATCAGAAGGTGCAAAATTACACATACTCCCTTTACAAAAAAAGCAATACAGTAAAACTAGAGGCTTGACAGCTTACCCATTAATGTCTACAACAAGAGTCTCCAGAGCATGGAATTTCCATACCAGAAAAGAAAGTGACATTCGGCAGTGGACATGGCTAGAAAACTCCAGTTACCTGCAGTAACAAACTTTCCTGTTTCAAGGCAAAGCCCACAGTCCAAAGATCTAAATTACTGAAATAATATCACAGTATTTACTCATCCCTGTTCTCCAACTAGAAAATGGCCCTCAACCGTAAGAAAGTACTTTACACACAAAACCCCAAATTACCCTATCATTTCCTTTATCTTAAATACAACTTCATTTGACTGGCTTTATTAATTTAATACTAATAAACGTAGCTCCTTAGACAGACCTTTTCCTTCCTCAAATGCATATTGCTTCTTCTCATGTTTCCCTTCTGTTCTCTCTCTGTGACCCTGCAGTGCTACTCTTTTATCTCATTCCTGTTCCACTCATTCATTCTCCCTCTCTTGCCACTAAGTTTCAAAAAGCAAGTACTCTTGGACTGATGGGATCTTGACCCAGCTGCAGTTATCTCTCCTATGGCTCATGCCATGACATAGTATCAGCTAGATTTTTCATGGGCCTTACTCACTGTGGAGCCCAATAAAACCCTCCACTTCTTATGTACGTTTTATGAAGAATGGTGGAAACTGGTCTAGGCTGTGACAGAATGATTCATGACCTGAAGATTACCTGACAGTGATCTGTAAGTAGCTGCCCACAGAGAAGGTACCTTTACTCAAGCAGATCACATCATAAAATATTCTGATGGCTAGCAGCTGGCATTAGAGAAATGCAAACAGGAAAAATCAGGCAACTTTTTAAGAAAGGTCACAATCTGCCATTGGAAAAGAATAGCAAAGGAAGTAAACTGAATTCCTTAAATATCAGTCAATCAATTAATCAATCCTTTTCTAAAGATACTTTGTAGCTCAAACCTCTGTTCTCAGAGACATAATTTATCTGAAGTATTTTTATGGCTGTCTTTGGCTTCACACCTGAACTCCTCACAATCTTATGTGGGCTTATCTGACATCTGGTTCTGTAAGGAGACTTATCACTGCATTATTAAGCAACTAGCCTCAGGGCACTCAGGAAGTCCAGAGCCTAGTATGGGATCTAAACTGAGATGCAACAAGCATAAGGCTAATAAGCCCATCTTTACTACCATGTCCCTGTGGTAGGAATGAAAAGGTTCAGTCTCTGTTATGTGCACTGGGACCTAGCCTGGATCAGCACAGCAATTTCTTGTAGCCTTAGAATAGCTTATCTAGTACACAGTAGCTGAAAATAAACCCTTGACTCTGAACAGTAACAGGACTAGAAAAAGAGAAGCTATAGTGATGGAAACAAATCAAACCCCAGCCCTTCCCATTTTCTCTTGTGACTGTCCACTGAAAGCTCAGGCTACTTCTGTGAAATCTCTCTAAGGCAGAACACATACCTACAAGATACTAGTTGCCTGCTTTCAGTCTTCCTAAAGGGTGTTAAGTTAATATAAGGTGATGGAAACAATCTAAAGTAGTCTAGGGACATACGTGCTAGCTTCTCTACCAGTAGACACGGGACAATCATAAGCCCTCTGGCCTTCAGCCTACCTATGACTCTCCCCTTTTTTTCAAGCTGATTATTGATGTAAGAGAGAGTTATATGTTAGTAACAATACCCAGAGCAAGCACACATAGAGTAAGAGGACAAGGATGTTAAAAATACCAACAAAGTTACACTAATGTCTGGAAAAGTGAAAGGAGAGCATCCTACCGAGTCCAAGCTGCCCCGGTTGGAGTCCAGGCTGGTACCATGGGAGTGTCTCAGACCTTCCTCACCATTCAGAGGCTCAGCTGAGGTGCTACCTGCATCTCCACAGCCATCAAATTCCTCATGGTCATAGTCAGACTCCACATCTGGGGGGGAAGTGTAAATCGGCTCTCCCACCTCTCTACTGTTACTCCTCTGTGTGTCTGAGACAGAGCTGTAAATGCTTTCTGCTGGGTCAAATAGAGCACTCTGCTCCTTGGGGCTAGTGGTTCTTTCCACAGGTTGCTCTGGAGCAGGAACTACCTCTCCAGCTTCCCTATGGAGAAGTGAAAGCCTTGTGTCTGCGACTTCCTCCAAGTAGTTATTGCTGTTTCTCGTGACATGCTGATTCAAGACCACCAAACTGGAAGTTGGCTGTCCTTCGTCATCAGCATGAAAACCCTCATCCACTTCTTCTTCAGCCAGTGGTGCCACCAGGCTGCAGTCAATGTTTAGTGTCCCCTCACTAGAAAGTGAGCGCTCTAAGTTCTGCACACTTTCATCCAGATTGCCAAAATCCAGCAGCTCCAAGAACTCCTGAGCAACCCTAGATGCCTCCTTTTCCAGCCTCTGGATCTCTTCTTCTCGCTGCCGATTGATTTCATTCCTGGTGTTTTCACAGATGATAGACATGTGATCCTCTTTCTGTTGCTGCAACTTCTCAATCTCCTTTTCCAGTCTTAAGATCTCCTCCATCTGACGTCTCTCCTCTTCTTGCAGGGGAATATCTACCTCCTCAGTCTTTACTGATTCCACCTTAAAGAATTTATATAACAGTGTTAAAGCAGTTTCTTCAACTTATATGTGTTCCTTGCCTGGTCCTTTCATTCCTCATATCTCCTTGCTTGCCTTGTACTTCCCATCTGCAAAAAGATGACTCTAAGCATCCTGCAATCATCCATGGTATAAAAGCTAAAAGTAGAACTAATGGATTTTCGGGTACCTCCTTTTTTTTCAGCAGCCTCCTCCTTTCTGAATCATACAAATAAGCTCACTGGGATCAGTGAATTTTTAGAAGAGCCCCTCTGTCTGCTGCTCATATTACAGCCCTCTGTACACTACAATTTACGTAAAAGCATTCTGAAAGTCCATCATCTCTTTTGAACTCTCTCACACACACAAAGGAGTAATATGATCACATATATACGCACAGCCTGCTTAACAGCTGAAGATTTCCTGGAAATTCATTGGAAGATTTGGGAATTTCATTGCTTCCTGAGTTGGGGGTCTGACCATCAGAATCTAGGTCTGGAAGGGATATCTGCAATGAAGCAGGACTACATCCATTCCAATCCCACCCCACCAAAACTCCACCCAGCACTTCTTGGTTTTCTTTAGCACCACTGGATGGATGATGACTGGCTGCTGAAGGCTCAGTCTTCCTCTGTTCTCCATAACTGAAGTAACAGGAGATTTCTAGCAAGTACACAGTAATTAAAAGATGGAAGATATTGGTAACTTTCACGGACGTTTAGCTGTAAGATAAAGCAACCCTCCCCTCCATGGAGGATGTTGAAAACGTACACACACAAGAAAAAGCAAAAATAAATTCCAAAAGGATTTAATGAACTTCCTGACTGGAGTATGACAATGCAGCCAATGAACTGGCCCATTTAAGCTACAATCCTTGCTTTCTTTAGTTACCCTGTTGCTTGCTCTCTACTTGTCTCTTACTTGTGAACAAATGCATTTCTACACTCTAACCTGTCGTCTCTCCAGAACAGAGCTGGCCTAAAACTGGGTAACAAGTGGTTTGGGACAAGAAGTAAGAAGATACACAGCTGTTTTCACACACCTCAGGGTAGGTGGTGTGCTCTTTGATATATCAAGTACCAACAATTAGATCAGTTACAAGCAGTTTATTTTAGCCATGGCAGCAGCCGGCTGCACTCTTATTTGGGCTGTTACAGGCAACAGTCCAGCAAAACAGACTGTGTCACAGTTTAGCACATCACAAGGTCATGTAATAAGCTCAAGCAGTAGAGAGAAAAAAGGATGCTGTGTGTTCAATGCAGAAATTTTCAAATAGGAACTATGCAGGCTGGTACATGAGCCTTGAAAAAAACACTACCTTGTTAAGTCTATGCTACTCTGCCAAAGCCAAACATCTGCAGGTTTTGAATGAACAAAGCCAATTTCTTAAATAGTGTTGCCACAATAAAAATATTAGATCCAGTCAAAGTGTAATCAGTGAGGGACCATTCACAGATACTCAACAGGAAACATACAAAAAGAGTAACTCTTAAGCTTACCTGAGCCACCTGGAGTAGCAGATTCAGTTGCTCCTTTTCTCTATTAAGAACAAGACACAATAGTCAAGAGATAGACCCAATCCTCCCATATGAGGCTTTCAGAATTACATGGACACACCATCCCTCCACGGTTAAGGTTAAAGTAAGGTACCTGTGGTAAGACTGACTTAAAAGCTTTTGTAATTTAGTAAAAATCCAATTCTCTGTGGTTGGCATGACCTTTGTTGATACAACAGATTTCCCACACACACTTAACTTTCAGACCAATCAGGAAACTGGATTAGTTGGAACACACTAGGAAGGACATTGGAAACAGACAGAAAGACAGATCAGTTAGATTCATGATAAACGTAAACAGAATCTTCTGAAATACTATACATCCATGGATATTAAATGAGACTGTACCTGCATGACTGACAGATACCAGGAAACTGTGTGCATTTGTTTTTTTTAAAAACAGAATTATTGTAATACCAAAAAGGAATTTGTGTTTTGTTTGGCTTTTACTTCTATTCTGACGACCTGGGTTCTCCAGCTTGTGTCACTTCTCAGAGGCATGCAAAAACTAGTTTACTAGTAAGGGCTGTAAGAGTCAGTTTGTTAGTAAATATGACTAGAGGAAAAAACTATCCCACAGTGCTGCATCACCCAGATCAAAAAGGTTGTACTTCAAGAGAAAGCTGCCGCTATTATGGCCAGTTTCTCCATAGCGAGCATGCTACAAACAACTGAACCAGCAGAAAATGCCAGGGTCATGCACAGGGAGCAGGGACAGCATGTGGCTGGATGGAAGAGTCTGCTGTAGTAACCACTCTGCAGCTGAATTCAGACTGGCACTGAGAACTTTCACATCTAGAATCCAACCCCAAGCAGAACAGGAGGGCAACGATACTTATTTCCCAGCGCCTCCAGCTTTCCCAGCCAAACTCCAAATTGCAGCTGCAAGTCACAAAGTCCTTAAAGCTCTCACTCTTGCACTCTCCCTCTCAAAAAAAAAAATTAAAAAATTCCAGGAAATGTTTATAAATGAAAGCTGACATAAGTGAGATCCAGATGGTTCCAACTCTACTGAAAGATCTCTAAAAGTAGTCATGGGTTAAACAATTGCCTCAAATGACAAGGCAGAGAAGTAGAGCCGTTTTAAAAGAAATCAAGAATACCACTTACAATCTACACACTAATTCCTGCAACTGTTCCTCACATTTTTCAGACTTCTGATATTTCTTGCTGCTTTCCCTCCATCTCCAACTCTTCCTGAAATGTGATACCCAAAACCAAGGACAGTACTCCAACTGAAGCCTTTACAAGTGCCAAGTGGAACAGAAGAATCACCCCCACATCTTACAGAAATTATCCTGTTTATAGACACCACTTGCTTTCTCCTCTCACACAGCATGACACTGGAAACATACTCAACTTAGCCTCCAGATCTTCTTCTGTAGTTGAAGTAGGCATTCCTTTTTCTCTCTCTGTGCATTTAATTATTCCTAACTGTAAATCGGCATATGTCTGTACTGGAAGTTACCCTATGTTTTCCAGACCTTTTCTTCAATTTGCCAGAATTATTCAAATTATAATCCTGTCTAGTTCTATACTTACAGCCCCCCAACAGATGGTTTTATCTGCAGATTTAATAAGGGTATTCATATTTCCTCATCCAACTTATTATGAAAACATTGCACTAGTACCATACCCAGCTCAAACCATGAAAGAATCCCACTCAGGAGTTCTCTCCTATTTAACAAAAGCCTACTATTGTTTACTAATTAAAATGCAATTGGTTGGAACTGGATGATCTTAAGGGCCTTTCCAACCCTAACCATTCTATGATTCTATGAATACAATGCAGTAAAACCACAAATCCTAGTCTTGCTTCATGTATTTTTTTTCCCCAAACCACATTTGTTATAGTGTCTTAGAGCATTGTCGTAACATGTCAAAGCCCCTATGCTCTCAAAATCAAGTTACCCACCCTGTATGGCTTTTCCCTATCTAGAGGGCATGTCATAAGCTACCACAGAAGGAAACAGGTAACTTAATACTGTTTGTTCTTCAGAAATCCACGTTAGCTCTTAATTCCTTTATCAAGCATTTACCACTGTTTATTTGTTTCAGTATCTTCCTGAAACTGAGGTTAGGCTGACTGGTCCAAAATTCCCTCATTCTTCCTTTTCCCATTTTAAATGGGGGTTTGGAATTTTCCCATTTTATGGAAATTCCACTGATAACGACAAAGGAGAAAAAAGAGAATAAAACAGAACTGCTTCAGCTGGTTTCCAAACACTGATTTCACTAAGTCTGGATGAATTCTTTGTAATCTGATTTATCCGAGCATTCTCTAACCGTTTATTTTCCTACTAGGTTCTCAATTCACATCTGTGCTAACTGTATTGTGTCCAACAGTTAAGCCTTCTGGGGAAGATAAATAAAAATAGTATAAAGTACCTCAGCTTTCTCAACATTCTAATTTTTTCTTCCTGTTGAACAGTAGACCAAATTGCTCCATATCTCCCTAAGTGTACGCACAATAACTGCATGCCAACTTTTAGTTTGTTACAATTCATGCTGCATCTTGGGCCTTCCAACTTTTTCTCTGCGTGTGTGTTGGGGTTTTCTGCTTTTTCTCAGTAGATTAGCCAATTTGCAATTTCTGTGGGCTTCAACTTCATTTTTGAGGTCCCATGGAAGTTCAGGATTTAGCCAAGTTGGTCTGCTAATACCTTTTTGGCTACTCACTCTGAATGAAGCCATTTGATTTCCAAGTAGAAAATGAAATCAAAATGAGCAGTTCACCCAATTCCTACAAACACTGACACTTCTTTACAATGATGCTGAGTTCATCACAGCTTTCATGGTCTGGGAACCAAAGGGCAGGGACAGAAACACACTAGACTGAATAAGCTAAATAGGTCCTTTAATCTAGGTACGGACAAGGTCTACATAGTACAATGAAGACTTTAGACCCAAGAGAGCATCTGTAGTATTTGATATTTGCAAACTAGTTATGATATTCTGAACTTGCACAGCATTGTTGAAAATTGACATATTGATAAAATGAAGCCTTCGGTGTTGTTCAACAAATTCCTTGACTGGTGTCACTGACTCCATATCTTGTCACAGCAGATATACCACCCTACTATCTTCAGCGAAACTGTAAGCAATCTCTTTTTCTTGTGATATGATTTTAACCGTAGAATTTTCTGATGCTTGTCACACATCTTAAGTCTGCCAAGATCCAACATCAGGACAAGTATGTTACAAAAGCCTATAAAAACCATAACCAACTATCTATGAAAAACTTAAAATGTCACAGGATTATTTGTTCAAACTTATGTAATAATCTCGCAGTTGAAGTTTTATGCTTCTTAAAACAAAAGAACATCAAAAGAGACACCCAGTTTGTCTAGGATGTAGGTAACCATAGAGTGAACAGTAAATGATACATGAGCTGCAGGATTCTCAATAGGTGTACTGTCACTGCTCACAGATTGTCTCTTTTTTGTCACATTAGCTTTTCCTTTCTTGTCCTGATCTCTTGACACATCCATATCCCTGATGAGACATACACAGCAGAACAGGAAAAGCATGTGTATTCTCATGAGTGTAAGAACAGCAGTAGCAGCAGACGTACACTGCCCATCTTGGTCTGTGACCCATCTTACTGGACACACCAAGACCCACGATACTGGTATCTTCTCATACTGCTAATCCTTCCAGATTTTGGAAGACTGCATAAATCTTCCTTTACCACTACAAAAACAGTGAGAAAATTATGCATCTCTGCCCAATCCGTGAAACTTTCATGTACTTTCCAAAGCAGAAAACTATGTAGATTCCAAAGGGAAAAATGCACTGCAATTTGATTTCCTAAAGGAAGCAGGACACTCCTTTTCTATGCTGCTTTTCTATTCTAAGCTGCCCACAAGCCCACCCCAACTCTGCCCCCTGGCATTGGGCCACTGTCTCATGCAATTGCTGTTCCAGTGTCACCAGACCTGCTTTGTACACCTCCCTTAGTGCTAGAGAATTGTAAGTGCAAGATACCATCTTGTACCTTTCCTTCACCTCTTCCTCTTCCTGTTTCCTCCTACGCTCCGCCTCTTCTTGCCATTGTCTTTCCTCTTCCTTTCTTCTGATCTGTTCTTCCTCTTCTTGCCTCCTTCTCTCCTCTACTTCCTGCTTCCGCCTGAATTCCTGCGGCAGCGGGTGCTGGTAGAGGCTGCGAGCCAGGCGGCCACGCCAGTGCTTCTGCAGGGTGACTGCAGAGGCCTTCAGTCGCAGCAGGCTCTTCTTCCAGAAGTATGCTCGGTAGTTCTTTTGGATTATAACAACACTGGCTAGCACCTTCTGATACTTCTTCCTAAAAACAGAACCAGACAGTGCACCATGAAGTAATACATGCTTTGCATTTCTCATGCCCTGGTATATCGATCAATCTTATCATGTCCACAGAAAAAATAATTTCGAAAAACAGTCCTCAGAAATGACACAATTTCTGTTCCTCTACTGCCATTACCCTCAAATCATATCCTCCTCACTGTTCTCACTCCTGTATCTACGACTGGTTTGTTTCCATGGGTACCTAATTTTGTGAATACACTCAGAGGATGAGGGACAGGTATTTAGCACATGGAAAGAGGAGGTTCACTGGTCCAAAGTCTCCTTGCATTGCACATACACACATTCACTGTGCAATCAGCATAATCACTCAGTGTGAATTTACTGTAATAAAAGCATCTAAATGGCCTTACTATATGAGAACCTAGTCCCAAACTGAGCTATCTTTTCAGTGGCTAAAAGTGAATTACTCTAGGAAGAGCAAAAATGGGGCAAAAATAGACCTAGTCACATTAATCTTATATTGTTTGGGGGAAAACACAGTGATACTACAACATTGATTGCTGAATGTAACATTGTAACAGGCTCCCATAAACATATACTTATATTGCACAATATTGTGCTTAAACAATAATGATACTATAATCAACTCTGCAGCACTTTAAAACCAAAAAACACAGTAGGGCCTTAAGAAAAAAATAATCACAATTCAGTATTTCTATAGTCTAGTGAAGTTCTAGAAAAGTCAGTTCTTGCCTCTGCATTACAGACTATTTTTACCAAGGACCTGAAAAAAAGTCACTGGTAGAAGTTTGTACATAATACACAAACTAGGCAAATCTCAAAAGTTACTATTACACAGTAAGCTGGATAAATTTGTAAGCTAGATTCAAGAAAACATTAAACAATCCAAAAGAGCCAAACATAAGATCTTGTATTGGAGAATCAAAGGCCAAACACATGTGACGTGGAACTGTTAGAAAGCAGCAAGTCAAAAAAAGATTTTGGGGCCACAGATCATCAGATTCCACCACAATGCTACAGAAAAAAAATATTACTGGGATTCTTGCACGTGCAAGCAGAAATACTGTGTAGAAGGGGACTGCACTGCCACTTTTATCCTGTGTTCAGTGTTAGCACTTCCATTTCAAGAACAATGTTAGACCCTCAGGTGATTTCTGAGGAAGCAGGATTGGAAACAGAAATTCTGGCTTATAGAAAGAGAGCACTTGCTCCATGACCTTAAGAAAGAGAAGGCTATGGAAATGCTTGATCCCTGTCAAAGTACCCACATTTTTGTGTGCCAGTTCCGTTTATCCAAAAGGGGACATAAGATTTAATTGACCTGAAGCTGAAGTCTGTTCAGCCTGGAAATAAGTGGATATTTTTTAGAAGTAATTGAATATATCTCAGACACCTTAACATCTTGCTGTAGGAGAATGATCATTGATACTATTCAAATCAAAACCTTCTTTAGTCCAAACCAGAATGTGCAGAGGGAAATGCTATGGGGCTGTTATGCAGGATCTTAGGCCAGCAGGCTACAGTAATCCTCTGAGGTCTTGCAGTCCTAGAAAGCACACTGCTCTCACATATCCTTCCCACAGACCTTCTGCAACCCCCTGAGGAAAAAACACACCTCAAAATCCCTTTCCTGGCAATCAAGACCCTTTCAAATGGCAACAGGGACCCATGCTGACAGTTTGCCACCTCCCTGCACATCAGATACGTCAGCCTAGTCAAGAAAATCAGGAGAGGGATGCTAGTAGCAGTAGTGTGCAGAGGTCACACTCTTTTCCATAAGTATTAAGTCAAAGGGAGGAAACGCAGAGAAAACAGGAAAAGGAAGAGGTGGTAAGTGGGAGGTTTTAGATTAATTGCTCTGGGGTGCAGCCCCCTCACTGCTGCTGCCTCTGTTCTCCCTGTGCCCTGCACATGGGGTGTGAACAGCTGCAGATGCACCCTCTGCCAAGGCAGATATAAGTGCATCAAAAAGCGTACTCTGACTTTTACAAAATGCATCTGCCAGGAACTCTCTCAAGTGCAACATGTGCCAAGCCCTGCCCAGCTACGGGCCAGCTCTGCCTGCTAATCTGCCAGGCTGAAGTGCTCCCTCATTCCTCATTACTGCAGTCAAGCTTGCGGGTGCCCTTCGGCTGGAATTGCTGCACACGGGATGTGAATTTCATTCCCCTTGTGGAGCTTTCCACTCACCCTCTTGCACTGGCCTAGGAAATAAAACCTGCAGCCTATGCCTAGGAGTTGGGAGACATCTTGACCATGTATCACAAGAGAAAGCAGGATGGCTGCAAGGCTCCTATGCCATATTTGGAATTTAGTTAATTACTCTGCTGATGAGCTGTACTTAGCAGTTATGCCTCCAAGGACTAGAGAACACAGGGCTATGGAGTAATTTCTTACTGTCTTCTTCCCCTGAGCAATAAGGTCCTGCAGAATCCAGGGACACAGCCAAATTTGTACATGGATCCTGCAGTTTAAGAGTTCCACAGATTAGCTGTAAAAAGTGGGATCACTTGAATGGGCTTCATTTTGTTGTCTCACATTTTAGTGATTAGTCAGAGATACTAGGCTGTAGGGAATCAGACAAAGAAACGTTCTCATCCTTAGGACTGTTTTTCCAGGCTCACAGAACAAGTTCACAGAGGGGAAAAAAACAGTATAATTTTTCCTGTAGCATATGTACCCTTCTTCACCAACCTACTTTGCATGAGACTGAATGAATTTAAATACACTTATCCTTTCAAAACTAACAGAAATGGTATCAAGACCAAGGTAGCACATCGTGGTACTCCTGACCTCCGCCCAACTCTGCACAGACCATTCAGCACTCACCCAGATGAACTCCCTCTTGCTAGACTTTCTCCAATACAGGTGCAGTGCAACTGGAAACTCTTCACAGAAAAGTTTTCCAGTGTCCATCCCTAGCTCTTTCCTCACTCCCTGCTCTCCTCCCCTGCAAAGTCCAGTTACCTCCAGCTGCTTGTAAGGATTCCCACTGTGGCTGCACAAGTACAACTTGCTCTTGAAGATGACACTCAGAAGAGCAACATGTGGGATGAGGAGTACAGACCTGTGCAGACTGGAGGACCACAAGATTTCTAGCCAAAAGGAACACTGCTGCAACACTGTCTCCATCACAGCCCTGCAAGGCAGCAGCTACCTTCCCAGGAACTCAGAAAAGCAGTAATTCAGTTTGCCTGAAGTGGTGTTTCCCAGAAAAATCAATTTTCCTGTGCTAATCCCTACCCCTCTCTCCAAATGCTAGACACAAAGTAAAACAGAGCAGAGGCCCTGACACAAAGAACTTGCAAGCTCATGTACAAATAGAGCTAGCTCATTTGTCTTCCTAGAGGGAAATAAACCAATGAATAAAAGCCCCTGAGACCGAATGTGTATTTTGCTGATATTCCACATTGGCAAGGCAGGGTACAACCTTGCACACATTTCCCAACGCAAAATGAGCTACCTGATGTAACTGGAACTGTAAGAAGAGTGCCTGCTGGAAGAGCTCTGGTGGCCAAGGCTTTCACCTCCTCACACCCCTGACTGACAGGTGTCGGGAGCAGAGACCAGCCGGGAAAGAGCATCTTACTGGATTAAGTGTGCATGCCACAGCCATTAAGAAGTCAGCTGTTTCACTGACTGCGAGGAGCAGAGGAGGGGCGGTTTGTCTGCAGTTGGTTCTCCCAACCTTTCTCCAGTCAGGTGCAAAAGGGAGCGGCAAGAAGAGATTACTGGTGCAAAGCTGGCCAAAAAACAATTCTGAAGAGTTAATTAAAAGGAGAGGGAGATCACGAGGCAAACAGGCAGGGTGAGGGAAGAGGGTGAGCAAAGGCAGAGCTGCAAGTTGAGGAAGAAGTGATTTGAAGGGGAGCAGAAACCAAGAGTTGACAGGCATAACGAAAAGGAGGGGACCCAAAGTGTAGGTGGGGCTCAGCCAGGAGAGTCCTGAAGGCAAGAAAAAGGTGTCATCGGAGGCTAGCAATGGGTACAGCGGTCCCTGCAGAAGCCTGCTTAGCAGCACTGAGGGAGGGTGTAAGCATACACAGAATTGAAGAGGAGGTGTCAAAGGCGCAGAAATGTTTCAGCAGAACTGATGCCGGCAGGGAGGGCAGATACTGCAACTCTCCTTTGGAATACTGGAGGGGGAGAAGGGAAGGATGCGAAGGGACTACAGAGCAAAGCAGGAGGTCGGGGCAACCCAGGCACGCAAGCACAGGGATGGTGGGGCAGCCCCCAGCACTGACCTTGCCATGTAGCCCAAGACGTGGGCCCGGATGACTATAGCTGCTTTCCTCAACTCCTCTTCCCGATGCTTCTCCAGCTTCTGCTCAAGAGCTTCCTTCAGGAAAACCTGACGCCACGGGGAGGAGTTTCAGTAAACACAAAGAGAGGAAAGAAGTCAGTCCCCGGGAGAGCCGGGAGATTTCATCCCCGGGTGGCCAGCGCTTAGAGC